AATTATTATTTTAACTGTTGTGTCTATACATGATTTTAAATAATAATAATAATAATAATAAAAAAATAAGACTAGTGAAGTAATGATTATGGTTTAATAATAAATTATTTTAAACAAAGAATCTAATTTATAATAATGTAATCACCATAACCACTGTAGTATGTAACAAATTATATTTTAAGCAATAGGTACCTATACTATAGTTAAAAGTTTATTTTGTATACATTATTTGTAAAATCTTGTCAATTAAATGTAATCCCTGCATTGTATTCGTGTAAACAAAGTCATATGCCCATTAACCGTATATTCATTAAATTAATAAAATATTGTCACCCAGCTCGAATATGCCCAAAACTCTTTTGTATCAATTCATGTTTTGTATTACTACATTTTTCTATTTATACGTCAATTAAGTAATTTTTCTTGATATAAAAATTGTAGGTATTTTATTTTTTGAATTTTTGAATTTATTTTGAATGTATATGTGTACATTGAAACAATATTTCGTAGATGGGCCCAGAACTGTGCACTCTTACTCTTTTAATCTAGGTTTAATTAATAGAGTAGGTAATATAAACAATGATTAATAATTTAAGGCAACCAGAAGGTAATTTTTATTTTCGGCTGACGCTCAAAATATATATATGCGATATACTGCCATTATATTATAATACTATCTTGCATTTAAAACGGCCGTCAAGCCAGCCCGATGATTTTTTGTTCTTCATTAATTTTTTGTCCCCGACTCCCGCCAACGACCAAACAGGTCACGTCACGTCGTTTTTTTACATAACGGAAAATGTTACCGTTGCCAAAAACATTCAAAAGTGTATCAACGCTATAATGTATAGATACCTACTATACCGCGTTACTTCTAGATATTTTTCATTTTTTTTTCATCTCCAAATCGAGACCGAACGCGCCCACGGGAACCGTGATAAATTGCAGTTTTTATTATCTGTGAAAACACCGTCCGATAAATACCTACGTGATGGTAGTTAAATAATACAAACTCTCTCCTACTACATAATATGCACAAATATAAATATAGGTACACATTACACGCATACACGGTCTATCGGTCTGTAATATACAATAAATAATAATAATCGGTGTTCGGTGTTATGATAACGTTGAAATTACGAAAACGGTAGCGTCGGGACAGATTGCGATAACGACTGCATATTTTCGTATAAACTATATTATGACGTATAAGAAAATATTAAGCAGTAATAGCTTGTCGTAGGAGCAGCTAATTTTATTAATGTAACTATACAATATAATATATTAATTTATTGCGTGCCATCGCCCATCGATAATCGATATTATGTTTATTATTTAAATATATTATTATTATTATGGACTCTAGTAACTAGTGCACGGTGTTTCCGACGAAGTCAAGGCAGTTGAGTAGCAGAAGCACATATATATCAGAGATCTAATACAATATGTGTACGTAATAATATATTTTACAATGAAAACAATGAAAAATACTGACAATTTAATTTTATATTAGGTATACTCGTATAAGTGTATAATATGTAATGTAAAACATAAGTCAAAACTATTCATTTTTAACGTATAAACGACGGGAAATATATTATTATTGTATTATCAATTCCATTCGGTACCTATAGTACGACCTATTAGTACTATAATACGACAATGATGACCGTCGCGGGGTCGCGTCTGCCGGCAGCGGCGGTAAGCCGTCTCACTACTACTACAACAACTACTACTACTACTACTACTACTACTACTAGTTACTACTACTACTACGTACTACTACTAATACTAATATTACCACTACATACTAGTATACTACCACAACTATAATTCATCTACAACAACTACCACCGTCACTACTACCATCACCTCCACCGCCGACGTCGCGTCATTAAATGTGTGCGCGCGCGTTTGTTTGTGTGCGTATTTGCACCATGCGTGCGAGTCTGCGAGTCATGGGTGCGGACGCCCTCCGCGTACCCGTCGGCGGTGCGAGCGGCGAGTGCGTGCGTCCGTCCGCTCAACGGCGGCGGCGGCGGCGGCGGCGGTGTCGGCGGCGCGCGCGCACGCATTAATACTGTTTTGCGTCTGTGTGAGAACTGGCGGCTGGCGCGCGGCGGTCTGTACGAGTACGTGCGTGCGAGTGTGTCCCGAGAGCGCGTACGAGAGCCTGTGCGCTAGTGTCGTGTGTGTACGTCTGTATATGCGCGTGAGTGTGTGTGTGCGCGCGCACGAGTGTTCAGGTGTGCGTGTGTGAGTTTAGGCGTGTGTGTATGTGTGTGTGTGTGTATGTGTGTGTGTATGTGTATGTATGTGATTAGAGAGCGATAGCATCGTTCCGTGTGTTATGTACGGTTTTCTCGCCACCGTGGTATTAACTTAAGTGTGTGCATGTGTGTGTGAGCGCCGCGCGAGCTTTTTGCCCAGGAGCGACTCGTCGCCGTCGTCGCCGCAGTTTCGCCGCAGTTGACTGTTTTTCGCGTACGCGTTTTTCACGCGCGCCGCCCGCCGTCGGTTTTTCATTTTCGCGCCGCGTCCCCGTCGGACATCATTTGTGTGTGCCGACTGCCGACGCCACCGCCGCCGCTGCCGTCGTCGTGTTTATCATCCGGTCGGTCGGTCGCCCGCCCTCCCGACAACAACCGCGACGACTGCCACAGACTCTGCATCCATTGCGGCACTCACGTATTGTGTTACTGTGTTATAACAACAAACAATATAATAATATTATATTGCTTCGGCATAGGTACATTATTTATTATTATTATTATTATTATTATTATTATTATTATTATTACTATTATTACTATTATTATTAACTATTCATTACCTATTATAATATTTGTATCGTTTTGCGTGTGGACGTGTGTGTGCGTGTGTATGTGTGTGTGTGCATGTGTGAGTGCGCGACTATGCATTGTATTTAATAATATTATGCGGGTGTCGCGTTTGTGTGTTTATGAATTTCGCGATATTGGTTTTATGGTGATAATGATATCGGCGTAGTCGCGCACCGCGGTCCGAGCGCATTGTACCCGTTTCGATTCGATATCGATTTCCGTTTTCCTTCGCGAAGGTTGAACCCGACCACCGCGTCTGCAGATCTCGCACGCCCGGCGGTCGGCCAGTGACATTTACCGACGATCGTTGAAAACAACGGACATTGCGATAAGGTCGGTCGGTGTCTAAACGCGAACTCGCAATCTTTCGTACACAGAACATGCGCGCACTTTTCGTTTGCCGGGGCGGGTGTGTGAGGCATTAAAGGTTAGTATGCGCTTATCGCCGCCGTTGATGCATAATACATTTTTTCGCGGTGCATAAGTGCATCGCGACTGCAGACTGACTGACGCATTTCCATTTGTTCGTGATTTTTAATAATTGGTTGCACACGTAACACATACCTTAAGCATCCCTCATACACGATCAGTTTTGCTCTCTGTCTTATTCGAAATTGAATTTATGCAAGTAAAACAGATGAAGAATGTGCATACATAGCCCTTGTGATAATCATCCAGTTGCTTTGCGTTTCTCATGTCATCAATGTATTGGTTATCAATAATCGATTACACTTGAATCAACAGCTGAAGTCCACACCGTATGATCATTTTTAATGATAGACGATCACGGAAGTTATTGCACCTGCTCAAAAAATCATAACATTTTGATTATTTCATGCCGTGCCTATAACAGATCGGTCCTTCGGTTTTGGTCACATATGGCTGGGCTTGCTGTTCAAGTAAAACAAAAATTGAAACGGATCGTGTATGGGCCGCTTTACCTATTCTTGTATAGTGTCTATGGTTGAGACTCTCAACCAAACAGTAACACATTGATGAGTTCCAGTGTTTTTATGCATACCTATCATCTATATATCTATTATGCACACAATACACTTATTTGGTTTTCACTTTGGTAGGAATACAAAGTCATCTCATTGACCACCTCAGCACTTACTCATTGTGTTGTTTGTGGCTTTCTATATTTTCGAGCTTCTCTTTCCATTTGCATCACAAGTCTGTTGTGAACGAAGTACCTAGGTATACCTATAATTAGTCATAGTAGCTGTTCTGTTATTACCATGTGACCAACTTTTTGAGGTTTTTATTTGTTTTGATACATAGTATTACTTATTTAATGTCATTGCAATAGCTTTGACATTTGACAAATTCTTATTTTTGTCATTTTTTGTGCTGTTACCTACCTAGTTATGTAAGTTTTTTAACATATCATAAATATCGACAATTACTATAACAAGGCTGATATTTATTTTAAATGTTGGTTTAATTTTAAACTAAGTTAATATTGTTTACTCTTGAAATGTATTCATTTGACATTACCTACCTATGTAAAAACTAATTTTTTTTGTTTACAGGTTGCAAATTCAAGATGTCTGTTTGTTTAATCACATAAGATAAGATAGCTTTATAGTATTACAACAACTGTTATAAACAATGAACCATCTCAATTAGTGATTTATTCTCAGATTTATCAAATTTTAACATTTTCATAATTTATATTAAATTAATTGTATTCTATGCATAATACTTGGTTCAACTTATTTACAAAGACTGTAGTGTGATAGTAAATCGAATAATAATATATTAGTCACATCTCCGCATACGGACAATGTTCATTAAATATGCTAGTTTGATTGTATCACAACAGCATCATAAATATCTACAAAACGACGGTCAAAAACCACACAGACGTTTCATTGTTTCAATACTCAATAACGATCCAAACAAGCTTTCTGCATACTGGCCAACAGTCGTTGGTTTATACAGTTGTTAACTAAAACAAAAGTCTATTCTTGAAATTCAGTTAACAACATGCGATTACATCAAGAAGCACAATATTAATGAAATAGTAATTATATACATTATTATTACATTGTGTTTCTGTCGTTTGATTGACAATAGTCACAGAAAATTGATTTGAGCTCTGATCGCGTGTAAACGAAAAAAAAGTTTTCGCATTTGCTTATATAGAGCATGTCAAACACGGCGGCTACTGCTTCTAGTGCTGGTAGTGCTGCTAGCGGTGGAACTACTGCATCAACTGGTGCGGCCACAACATTTGTCGACCGCATCGACCCATTCACAAAGATATCTGTATTAAAACGCAAAACGAAGCGTTCACAGGGCTCATCGTCTTCTTCTAGATACCGTACGTGTTCAGACGTCGAATTACAGCCTTTACCGTTGTTAAAGGGTGAGTAAGAGTTTACAGTTGAACTTAAAGAGGTTAATTTCCATAGTTTTTTCAATACTTATAATTTTTGTTAACAATAATAAGATTCATCTTCCTAGTTATTTTATTTTATAATTTACAATTTTAGATTATCTACAGAAAAGTTTATTTATATTATTTTAAAATACTAAAATGTACAACTTATTTCATTTGAATAGGTTCACAAAAAAGAGTAACATTTTTAGGTAACTTATATCTATAATATATTTATATACCTATGAGAGTTACAACATTTTTAAAAATCAAAAAAATTTTATATTGATGAAATGTTCAGGAATTGTGTCATTTACCACATATTGGTATTTAATAATGGTTCAGATTGTTGAGTTTTTGTAGGCGTGGCACTTGGTGTGATGTCTAGCATTGCCGTGAAGAAGGCTAATGCCCTTTGGAAGTTTTTAATGTTGTCCAAAGTGTCTGGGTCAATTCTGTGGCCTACTGTAATACAACATATGTACCTATATTTCAAAAATATTTGTACTTTTTGAGTTTTTAAAAATTAGCTTATTTTTTTAAACACCTTCGTATGGGTAATTAAAAAAAGTAATTAGTGAAATAGTTAACAACATTTATATAGTCTAGGATTTATTAGTCCATTTGCTTAGCCTATTAAAAACAGATAAAAGGTACACAGACTTTTTTTGTACTATGATTTTTTTGGGTAGGGATTTCTGATTAAGTAGGCACAAAATAAGATACTCATTCAGTTGCTTATAGCATATTTAAATTATTTTAAAATTTGTTAAACAGTTTTTAAAAATGTTCATATAATTATTATAACCTTAAAGGTTACATAAAATAAAATTTATTTAAATTAATCAAATCAAGTAAATAAGTCTGAGTAGTTAGTAGCGAAATAATAATGTTTGGCTAAATTACGTATATAACATTAATGTATACACAAATGTATGTATTTTGTTTATGCTACCTAAAGAAAATAAAATTAATTAAAACTAAAAATGACTAGTAATTTTACTAAAAATAAGTTGATAAATTTGCGTGTCCAAAGTTTAAGTACTTCAGTATTATAGGCATCTGTTTTTTGTTATTGTCCAATTGCTTGACAAAAAAAAAAAAAAAAACATAAGTCTAGGATTAAAATAAATGAGTTATGATTAAAATACATTTTTTAAGTATGGCATTAGTCTATGTGATATATGTGATTCAATCCACAACATAAGTACCTACAATACACACAGTATACAATTGTTTGGATTTTTCTTACACTTTTGCAATTTTTTCTCAGATGTAACTGCTCAGGAACAAGAAGAGTTAATGATAAGAAAACTCCGACAGTGTTCAGTACCTTTTGATTTTATGGATCCCATGGCGGAACTCAAGGGCAAGGAAATAAAGCGTGATACACTAAACGAACTGGTTGATTATGTATCAACATCACGGGGTGTATTGACAGAAAATATGTATCCAGAAATCATTAAAATGGTATGAAATATAATAATATACTTCTAAGTTTGTTTTTTTAAATTAATAACTATCTAATTTTTTGAACTATGCACGTAAGGTAAATAATTGCTAAATTCAGATTTCTCCTGAAACATTTATCCATAGGTTATCACACTGGTTTAAAAATTATATTTGAAATATTATAATGCTTCTATTACAATAAGAAACTGGTCAGGGGTAATATTTATGCTTCATATGTGGTTGAATGCTAAAGAAAAAATTAGTGATACATAATAATACATTATTGACTGTTGCTTGTTGGTATATACTATATGATGTAATACTTATCAATCACTGGACATTTTAGCTGTAACAAATTCAGTATTGGTAGTTACAGCCACAATTTTTTTTCGGATTAGCTATTATTTTAGCAAAATAAAACCACTGTGTTCTCAAAAAAAAAAACTGTCTATTATATAATTAATTGTTTGTTTAGATTTCTTCAAATTTATTCAGAACACTACCACCCAGTGATAATCCAGATTTTGATCCTGAAGAAGATGATCCTACATTAGAAGCATCATGGCCTCATTTAACAGTAAATATATGTATTTATTAAATAATAATATAAATAATAAGAAACAAAGAATAGTTTCCTCTTGGAATTTATTTTAAGTTAGACTAAGTATAAAGGTAAATTATAAATATTATTTATTATTCTATTTCTACGTATGATATTATATTTTCTATACAACTATATAATATTTATGTCACTGATGTTTAGTGTATCCTTTTATGTTGTAATGGTGTATCATTCAACTAACTAAATCTTAATTTTTATTTTTGGTACTTCATATTTAATTGTTTTAAATTGGGTTTACATTATAGCCCTAACACAAACAAGTGCAAGCAAATGCTACTGATCACACTAATGTAAACAGTCTAGCCGACCACAAACAAACTCATTTGTTCGTGTTTTGAAGCGTTTGCTTAAAGGTGGTCCAATCATCTAATATGCGAATTTGTTAGGTAGCATTTGTTCGTGTTTGGACTCTAATGTAACCTAACCTTAATTACGTTGACTTTTTCTCTATTTCATTTATTCTGTTTAAAATTTATAGTAGATATTTTTTTACAATGTTGTTTATTTTAAATTGGTCATTTGAAAAGGAAAATATGAGTTCAATGTTATTGTAGTTATAGTTTAAGTTGAGAATACATTTTGTATTTAAGTACCTATAATAGTTTTAAATTCAAATAATAGTATAAAATATTACAGAAAAAATTACCAAGGCAAACTAACAATTGATAATTAAGTTGTTTATATGTGTAAAGTGTATTTATTTTGAATATTGAAGTAGTTATCTTATCATTATATTTATTGAATTTTTTTCAGCTTGTTTATGAATTGTTTTTACGCTTTTTGGAATCACCAGACTTTCAACCAGCTATTGGCAAAAAAGTCATTGATCAGAAATTTGTGTTGCAGGTAAAAATAACTTTGACTTAAAAAGAAGTATTGAGAGTGTATAAATATTTTATTAATTATTACTATCTATGAAAATATTTTTATAATGTAAATAAGTGTAGTGAGTACATAGCTTGTTTAACTCAATACTTTCATATAAATGTAGACATGGTATAAATAAGGTAGGTGCAGCACGTTATCATTCTGTTTTTTATTGTACATTTTACAGTGTAAAATTAGTGTAATATTATATACCCTGAGAAGTTTTATTTTTTAAAAAGCTCATAAATGTCTTATACTATTTTGAATAATTGTGTATGATAGTTCAAATGTTTTGATTGAATTTTATTCGTCAAACTTCATAAAAAAAATTTTAATTGAACAACGTCTTAAAGAAAAACCATACTATTTAGTATTTTATTTTATACTTTAGGCACATTAGAGTATGTCAGTGCAAAGAAAACTATTTTTTCCGTATAGTCAGTCGATCGCACTATTGAATATATTTTTTACTTCACATAGTATACACCATACAACTAATATCACCTCTCACTGACTTGTTGCCTGATTTTAAAACATAGTTGTACCATAAAATGTACTGTACTGTATAATACTACCTATAAAAAAAGCAATATAGTGATTTGCTTATTTAAGATTGTGTTATTTGATGTTAATATCATTGGGGCCAAAATGAGTATTTACGTCTAAAAATAGAATACTTTTATAATAGCTATAATTATTCTATTAACTAATTTAATATATTATGCAGCTCCTTGAATTATTTGATACGGAGGACCCACGGGAGAGAGACTTCCTCAAGACTGTGTTGCATCGCATTTATGGAAAATTCCTGGGCTTGCGTGCTTTTATTCGCAAGCAAATCAACAATATATTTTTAAGGTTTGTATATAATGAATTATATAACTAGTAAAAAGTAAATAGGAACTTAGTATTTTCAAAAAATATATCTAAATATCTTCAATTATTATTGTAAAATTAATCAATTGTTTTTATTAGGTTCATTTATGAAACGGAACATTTCAATGGTGTTGGTGAACTATTAGAAATACTAGGAAGGTAATTTACTTATATATTTATTATTATAATTTACCATTTATATGTAAATTAATTTTAAACAAGTTAATATAAACAAATATTTTGTCCACATAAGCATCATCAATGGGTTTGCACTTCCCCTGAAAAACGAACACAAGCAGTTCCTGGTTAAAGTGCTCATACCTCTGCACAAAGTCAAATGCTTAAGTCTCTACCATGCACAATTAGCATATTGTGTAGTTCAATTTATTGAAAAGGATAGCTCTTTAACTGAATCTGTCATTCGAGGACTACTCAAATATTGGCCAAAAACTTGTAGCCTAAAAGAGGTAATGTAATAGATAACTCTTCATCTTTGATTCATTAAAAATAACCCAATTTTTGTTAATATGAATTATGCAATTCTGTATCTTTAAAACTGAAAAGATGATTTGGATGATTCCCAAACTTTTTTGATAACTGGATTTAAATTAATAAAATACTATAAAATAGAAAATTGTTCATCATTATAAATAACAATAAAAAATGTTTCATTAATGAGATTTTTTTTTTGATAATTGTGTTACAGTTTATTCACTATGTTTAGCATTTAAATTTTTTGATTTACAGGTTATGTTTCTCGGTGAAATGGAAGAAATACTCGATGTTGTTGAACCATTACAATTTCAAAAAATTGAAACTCATCTATTTAAACAAATCGCTCGTTGCGTATCCAGTGCTCATTTTCAGGCAAGTTACTTTTATTGCAATATTTCTATTGTGTGTTTAATAAAATAGATGTAGTATGTATACAATACCTAAAATATGATCGCATTAGAAATGCTTAATGGGTTTTTTTCAGTACTAACTTAGGTTTTAAGAATAAAATGTTTTTAGTTATGATTTTGAATCTTGAAATTATAGAAAAATGACTAACAGTTCTAGTTAACTTGAACACTGTGTATTAAGTAGAATCAGTAGTATAACAAACATGATCTTTGAGAAGCAGTTGCTTCTCAATATTTTTCAATATTTTGGGTTGGGTGGGTGCTCAATGTTTAAGCGAAAAACAATTACAAAATAATAATTATGGCAAATAGTAATGGTAATGCTAATAGTACTTATGTTTATTATAAATTGTTAGTAGGAGGGTGTGTGTTTAGTGGGTCTATTTTAGTTTCCTTATGGATTATTTTAGGCTTATTTTACCTCTAACTCTAATAACCTGTAATAACAGTTATAATAAGCATATGAGCGTAGAAAAAATAATATACATAATAATATGAAAGCTTGAGGAGAGTAACGATTCGGCGGCAACACTCAGACGCAATAACTATTCTATAGTATTTAAACATATAAAATCGATTTTTTGTAAATTAAATAAATAATAAAATATATACTTCTAGGTATCTTTTTAAAAACTGATACTAATTTTGAATTTGATACCCTGCAAATTTTTTTAAAGACTATTAGAAGGTGTATTATTTCTAATATATTACTTAATTATTGTTCTAAGCCTTGGTATGGATCAGGGGTGGCCAATTTGCTGCTCATGTCATAGTCCCATGCGGTTCACGTCTTACTAACAAAAACCAAGATTTACTTATTATTATTTTATTTTTTTTTGGCGTACATTTATAGGTTATTTCTAATATGTAATTTGATACGGCTGATAGCTATCTTTATTTCTTAGATCAAATTATGAAAATAGTATTAAATGTATTTATTAAGATTTTGGCTCTTGATATTATTGTATTTAATCATGTGGCTAGTGAACATATTCATGTTGGCCACCAATTGTATATACTGAGTAATTTATAAATATGATTGTTTAACTGTTTTCTTCATGTAATGGTATTTTTGAATTCAGGTTGCCGAACGAGCGTTATATTTGTGGAACAACGAATACATTATGAGTCTGATAGAAGAAAATAACCAGACAATCATGCCAATCATGTTTCCAGCGCTATACCGTATCAGTAAGGAACATTGGAATCAAACCATTGTAGCATTAGTTTATAATGTACTGAAAACGTTCATGGAAATGAATAGTCAACTTTTCGACGAATTAACTGCTAATTATAAAGCAGAACGACAAAAGTAATAACGTAACAATATTTTATAATATTTTTTACAATTGTGTTGTTGTTTTTTTACAGAGAGAAGAAAAAGGAAACTGAACGTGAAGAGTTATGGAAACGATTGGGACAACTTGAAATATCATCTAGTGGCCGTGGTAAACCATCTGCAGCATCACTAATATCAGTAGATAATAACAACAAGACTAGTAGTAACAATAGTTTGGATTCTGTGCAAACAGCAGTAACAACAGCAACTGCACCAATAGCAGCAGCACCAATAGCAGCATCTCCAATTGCAGCGCAACAACAGTAGTAGGAGTGGAAGTAGCAGCGATAATAATTATTTTTCATTCAATATACACATGTGTCCATGTGTATGTATAATCTATATATTTATTTATATACACAGACATACACATGTATGCTTATAGTTGTATACAATTAACGATCAAAACGTTAAGATTTAATGTGGTGGAATTTTAAATTAATACAATGAAAGTACAATGTTGTTATCGGTGCACACGTACTGCTGTGGTGTGTTTGTATGTGTATATTTTATTTTCAATAGTATTTGTATGGTAATATATGATTACATATGCTCCACATTAAAATAATGTTTTACAAAAAAAAAATATCATTTGAGGAAAGAAATTATGGGGAATGCTAATAATAGTAGAATACGACACAACTGAATGTTCTGTGAATATTTATTTTATGTGTGTGAGAATTTGATGAAGAAAGAAATATTGGCGAAATTAAATATGTGATGTAAAACATGTTTACATGCATGTTCTTATTTTTATTAAATGTATATTATGTGAATTGTTTGATATTATGTACTCAAAAATGTGATGTTATCATTGCTATTATTCTATTGATTTGATATAATCACAATAACAATCAACACACGTGTAAACGCGTATAACTAATGCAAAATGTGGCGTTATAAAAATTTTAATTTTCTAATTTTTAATGTAAATTAAATTAGATTTAACCCTCTTCCCCTGTGTAAGCGTGTGCGTGTGTAAATAATATTAGATTAATTAAATATTAAAAATTGTTATTTTTTAATAATTATATATATATAAATATATTATATAATATATAATGTAAACATTCTTAACTGTTAGCAATAGTAGTAGTAGAACTGGTAGTAGTAGTAGTAGTAATAATAATATTAATAGTTGTATTATTAGTAGGAGTTTAACAATATTCTTAATAATAAAATACATAAGGTACCAATCTCACACATACTGATCTGTAAATAATTTTTAATAATTGAAAAAATCATTAATCAGTTTTTTTTTTGATGATGGTGTTGCATCATTTCTATCATTATGATACGATTATCATTACCGTTGTCCATCATACCTCCACTGATATTACTAATTTTTGTTTTCTATTGTCGTTGTTTCTTTTATAACATAATTTTTTAAAATTGTTTTAAAGATAAAATATGTTTTAGTCATGTCATTACCGATGCTTTAACCTTAAATATTAGCTACTATAATACATATGCTACTGCTACTACTACTACTGCTACTACTACTATTACTACTACTATTATTATTATTATTATTATTAATAATTATAAATATTATACGTATATTAACTGTATGAATGTTTCATTTCTCGCGCGCGTGTTAGTCTTTATATAGTTTGTAAATCAATATTATAACGAAATTATTATTATTTGTTGTCGTTAATGCGTGAGCGCTCGCGAGAGTTATAATATTCTGATATATATATATATATATATATATATATATGTTTATGTACAAAACTGACAGATTAAATTTTAAAAGCCAATGAAAACCCATATAGATAGAAAACATACACACCATATAAACATATGTAAACATATGTTTTTGTCTGTGTGTATGTTTGTTAAAATGAAAAATATTATATATTACATAAACACGAGGAAGATACACACAATTATTATATATTACTATATTATTACTATCATTAGATCATTATAATTATTACTGTAATTATATAAATTATCAAATATTATTATTAAAAAAAAATTACATTAAAATTTTTTTTTTATTATTATTAATTTACAGTAACCTATTGTATGGGGAGGTCAACATATCAAAATTCCTAGTAGATTTTGAGAAATGTTTAAATAATCATTAAATGTATATTATTTTCAATTAAGAATTTTTGTTGTAATTTCTAGTAAAATTAAACTGCAGGTTAAAATGCATAAAACTCAATATTATCCCAAATTTGTTACATTTGATCAAAATTGATTTTAAATGCTATGTTAAAGTATCTTTAAAAGTTATTACCTACAAACCTTCTGTATCAGGCTTTCACCTTACTGTTACTGTTATATATTGATATTTTAATTGAAAATTTAATTTTTTATTATTTAAAAAAAACTGGTCTAGTTATAAACTATAAAATTATTTAAAAAATCAGTCTTATTAGTTTCTAACATCTGTTATCAATCATTAAGGTTACTTTATTGTTCTATATTAATATGCAATTGATTATATGTGAACATTGACGATTCTTAAATTGTATGCACCACCCTGACATATTTTGTTGAACTAATTTTGTTTAGTTTCCACTATCAAATTTATTTATTTTTTTTTGTTGGCTCTATAATTTAACCCACATTTAAATTTTTAACTTTGACAAATATGTAAAAATATACCTAGTATAAAAATGCTCATACTTACTAAAATTTAAAATTATGTGAAAAACAACTTTCAAACCAATTATAATATGCTTACCGAAAATAACTTATCAAAGTTTGACTATAGGTAAAATAATTCTAGTATTAAAATTAACATTTCAGAACTAATTGTTCTACTGAACAGAAATGTTGTATGTTTGTCGGATGGAGGCCATTCATACGAAAGTGGTGCCCTCTTAATATTGGAACTGCTTACCAGTCATAACACTTGATAGTAGGATATTAGTTGACTACATTTTAGTCTTGTAAAAGTGTTATGACTTACAAGTTACAACATATAACGATAAGTCAAACTTAACAGTATTGTATAACTTTAAGTTATGATACTTGGTTATTTTAGGCTTGTATTGTAAATGTATTTAAAAGATAGACATGTTAGATTACTAATGAAAACGGTTTCTAAATTGTATGATAAAAATATAATTACAGAGTCTTTCTATATCATCTACTTCTGGCATTTAATACTAAACCAAACTAAAAACTTAAATCTCCCTCAATTTTTGTATTATCAAGGTATTCTTTCACAACTTTCAGTTTGCCATTTTTTTCGGGTTGTTCTTTAGGTATTTGTTTCATTCGTTTCCAGTTCATGATTTCTCTACTTTGACTGTCCTCACTTTTCCACATTACGTGTTCCAACCATTCAATCCTTTCTTCATCTTTGAAGTTGATGACTGATACCATTTTTCTTCCTGTATCACTTTGTTAAATTTCCTCCTTTCTCGTTCTTATGAATTGTTCTCTATGTATAATTTTCGAACGTCTTAAGTCTTCTCTTATTGGTTCTAGTGGGGTGGTCTATACTTTCCAATAGTCGTATATTATAATATTATCGTCGTACATAATCCTTTGGCTTTTTAGGCCACCGTTACCGTTCTCCAATAATCACGATCCTGATTCTATCTTCCCAATTTGTCACTTCAGTGACTAAGTCCTTCCTTATGCCATCCATCCATCCATCGCTTTCTAGGCCTTCCTCTTGGCCTTTTCGCCGTCGGTTGCCATTCGATTACTGCTCTTGTACAAGTAGTTTCTGTTTTCCGCATAGTATGACTAAACCATTTGAGTCTTTTTTACAGTTAATGTAGCTTGTTAACAATGGAACTTTAGTGATTTCTCTTAGTTCATTAATTTTTCTTCTATGACATCTGTTTAGCTTACTATCAAACACTGGACCACAAATCTTCCGTAGTATTTTATTTTCAAAAACTAACAGCTTTTTTTTGAATTGTATAGTAGTGGGCCATATTTCACATCCATAAGTCACCATTGGTCTTATTGTGGTCATGTACAGTTTGATCTTATTTCTTCTGGAAAAAAGTTTGGATTTAAAAAATTTATGTAACGCGAAATAAGCCCTCTCTGCCTTGCGTATACAACTTATGATTTCGAGTCTCCAATCATTGCTGTTAGTAATCGTCGTTCCAAGATACTTGAACTCTTTAACTTTCTCAACGGCATAGTCATTGATTACTACGTTTTCTTCCCCATTGGGAAGTAGTTCCATCACGCTCGTTTTATCTTGAATTTTTTTAACCCTGCCGATTTCGCATCATCTACGGGTGTTTGTATTCTGCTCTATTATTTCCACGCTATCTCCAATTAGGTTTAAATCGTCAGCAAATCCTGGTTTATCAATTTGTGTGACACCAATATTGGTTCCCAAATTGTTATGTCTTACATTACGTATTATTTCCTCTATTGCTATATTAAATAATATGATGAGAGCACGTCCCCTTGTTTCAAGCCAGTTATGACTTCAAACTCCTCGGACAGCGTTTGGTCTACTCTCACTTGGTATTTTGTGTCATTCATGCACATTTTTGTTAGGGGGATGAGTTTTCTAGGGAAACCAAATTCATGCATAATATTGTAGAGACTATCACGATGTATGCTATCGTACGTTTTTTGAAATCGACAAACACTTGCCATTTATTTTGTCAAAACTCGTATTTTTTTTCTATTAACTGCTCAACTGTTGCTAGCTGATCGATTGTCGACTTACCCTTACGAAAACTACTCTGGTATTCTCCTATGCATTTGTCGTCTGTTAGTTCAAAGCGTCTTAGCAATATCTTTCAAAATACTTTGTATGCAGAATTTAATAAAGATCTTCCTCTGTAATTATTTCAGTTGAGTTTGTTGACTTTTTATCTATTGGAATTACTATGGCTTTTTTCCACTAATTTTGCAAAACTTCTGTTTCTTATACTTAACTACAGATTTCATGAATGATCTTGTGTATTTCTTCACCTCCGCACTTAAGTAATTCTGCTGGAATCCCGGCAGACCCCGAAGATTTCCAATCTTGTAGAATGTAAACTATTTATACACATTTAGTACACTCTTAGTCCACTCCGGTATTGGTACCTCTGGTAGTTCGCTGTTAAGCATTTCTTCAAAATATTCATGCCATCTACTTTTTCATATCATCTAAGACAAGTAGTCTTCTTTTGAGGGGGTCCATTAGAATGGTTTTATTGTCCTTATCTCAGATATCTTTCAGGCTTGGGTAAAATGTCTTGTATCTTTTGATCTTCGGAAAGAATTACTCCAATTTTTTTATGAGTTATATTGCCTCGTGCTACGTAGTATATCGTTCATATATGATCTTTTTTATTTTTGTATAATGCCTTTGCATTTCCGTCATTCTTGTTCACAGATTTCTTTTGTCACTTTTGTTTGGAGTCTGAGGTAATTTAGCCTTGCTTCGGTCCCTTTTATAACTGCATTCTTACATGTACTTATACACCATGGTTTCGTACGATTTTTTAACTCTCCAATTGTGTTTTTGGCTGCTATTTTGATGGCTTCTTGGACTATGCTCCAGCTGTCGCGGTCGTTATCGCAAGGTCCGCGGCGTCTTTATCGGCGTCCGCGAGGTCGCAACCGAGAACCTGTCTGGCCGCTGCCAGCAGCGTAAGCCGCCGTCCCAGCCAACAGCGGACAAGGCAAGCAGCTTTTGCCTGACCGTCGTCACCGTGACACACTCACTCACTTGTGATTTTATTGTGTGCATCAAATAAACTGTGATATATCAACGACGTATCTTCTTTTCACATGCATAAAACCGTACCTACACCTTCAATGGAAGGAAGAGTCGGAAGAGGAGTGAGGTAAGTGCTAAATTTTAATAAAAATAATTGTATGTAAATTAAAGTAAATGAGCACATTTCAGGTTGAAAGGACCTACAATAGGTGTCCTGATCATACTGGTTCCAAATTGTTTTATGCTAATTTTTAGTTTTTAATAAAATACTAAAGGCTTGTCCAATCTAAGGTGGAACATTTTGCGAAATTTGCGAAATATTAGTGTAATTCCTACAGAGCTAAACGTGGTTTAGGCTATTTATAGATTGCAAAGTACAGTTCAGCCAACGATATCCCGAACTGCGTTAATCTCATATCTAGTGTACTTTAATTACGTTGATAATAATTAAAATTTAATAGTCACAATGGGCATTAAATGCATTGGTGAATTAAATATAGTTGAGATCAGCCGTGAGTTGTATAAGCGTGGCATTGAGACCGGGGGGTCCAACTCTTAATACTCAAGGAGTATATTCGAACCAAGAAGTGTACGGACCCAGAATCAGTACGGCTTGTGGTAATTAGCGAGTCATCAGCCCAGGTACCGGAAGGGACAACCATCGGGAGCTCAAATTGAAGAGGATGAGGTCAACTCTGGAAGAGTTTGATAAATCAGTTCATGGAGCAGATGTTGGAACGTTTGGAACGAGAGTTAGCCGAAGAAAAGCTTAGGTCGACCGAACGGGTGGAGCAAGCAAGTTGCTCATGCCGTGAGAATTTCCCCCAACTATTGGCCAGCGATATATCCGGCGCAAATAAAAATTTGTCCGGATGAAACTCAAAATTTTCCCAACAGGCGTGAGTTTTGAAAGCTAACATTTAGGGCTAACTTACGGAGCAAATTGACCCGGGAAAACTCGAGAAGTCAAAGTCTCCGTAGTTTCCGGTAACCGTTCCGGAGTGATCGATAAAATATCCGGAGTGTCCGATGAAGTGTCCGGCAGAAGTCATAGGAAGTACACGGAGTAGTTTTTCCGGTGTAAAA